CAAGGATGCAAATAATAAAATCCAAGTCCAAAGGAAGAAATGGTATCGGAGCTTAAATTGTGAATACTCAATTTGCAAAAGCAATGGATGGCAGTTGAAGCCAGGGCAACAGGGCCCCTACAAGCCTCTGGTGAATCCCCTCCAACCATAGTAGAGCGATGTGCATAGCTCTGGTATCAGACAGTGTATTCTACACTGGACTATGGCAGATCTAATTAGGTTAAAATGTAACACCTCATCATTTGGTTTTTCTTTTGACACCTCCTGCTTTATTTGCAATTGAAGTATTTTTCCTCTTGGTTTATTTTTATATTGCTGCTCTTTTTCTGCTGACTATTTTTGTTTTTGCATTTCACTTAGTATGCTTTATAGTATATGAAAATCAGGATTGGTAAGTCTTTAGAGACAGTAAATGGAGTAATGCTTATTGGGGGTAGAAGATCGGAGGCTGAAAGGAAATGGGGAGCTAATAATGAATACAAGAAAAAAATTGTTTTAGAACTGATTGTAATGTGATTATACAACTCTTTTTAATAAGATTAAAGTATGGAAGTGAATTCTGTCTCAATAAAACTATTTACATTTTTTTTTTAAACTATTTACATTTTGAAAAGAGTTAGTTCTTACCATAAACTGAAGTCCCTATATTTGAACTCCAGCTATGGGGTACTACATTTATAGCCAGTGAGATCAATGACAATGACAATGACAGTAGTGAATGATCCCTGTGGAACATGAGAATTCTCCATGTGTATTCATACGTGGGAGGAAGAAGAGATTGATGAAACAACATGCCAGCTATGAATTAGTAGGTGCTGAGTGGGAAGGTAACTCCATGAAATTTACATTAAAGCCTAAAATCTAAACACAATTGGTTAGTGAGGGGCTGTGGTCTACACTAGGAACCCGGACTCTAGACCAGTGGTTCTCAACCTTCCTAATGGCTCGACCCTGTAATACAGTTCTTCATGCTGTGGTGACCCCCACAACATAACATTATTTTCGTTGCGATTTCATAACTGTCATTTTGCTACTGTTATGAATCAGGTGACCCTTCTGAAAGGGTCATTTGACCCCCCCAAAGGGGTCGTGACCTATAGGTTGAGAACTGCTACTCTATAGAGTGCCTTCACATGAATTTATGCTATATTTAGGTCCTGAAATTAAATCCCAATGCTTCGGATCATTAAATCATATGTGGCCAATTTGGAGAAAGTACAGGAAGATTCAGTTTCCATGAGAAAGAATAAGGTTGAAAGTCAATTATAAGTCAAATAAACCACACAGAGAAGCAGCTTTCCCACAAAATAAATGGGTTCTCACATAAGAACTGAAAGAATTTGGAAGAAAATTTGGCAATCTACTCCTAAAATAACTAGCCAGTGAAAATCCTATGGGGCACACGTCTACTCTGCTCGGCATGGAGGCTCTGCATGCACTGCCTTCAACTCCACAGGAATGGGCTCACTTTCACCCACAGGCATAGCTGCTGGGCTGGGAATATACTTGGAGTTGGTAATTGGCTGTTGGAACTAGGCCACTGAGTCAGTCTATCACTGCACCCTGGCCCTGGGAGACTTGTCCATTCTGAAAGGGATCATTTGAAGCACAGCGTGGGCCCCAACACTACTAAAATCTCCACTCCAAAAATCCACTGCCAATTAACTGATTCTGACTCACAGTTTCACCAACACAGCTGTTTTGTTGGTTTGTTCCTTTACAGCACTTTTCTATTCTGATGGCTAGGTGCCTGTACCACATAAAACTCACTGCCATTGAATCGATTCTGACTCACAGCAACCCTATAGGACAGGATAGAACTGCCCTGGTGAGTTTCTGACTGTGTAACTCTTTCCAGGCGTAGAAAGCCTGCCTTTCTCCTTCAGAATAGCCAGTGGTTTTGAACTGCTGACTTTGTGGTTAGGGCTCCTTTTGTCACATAGGTGTTTAAATATTTTTATTTTGACCACAAATTCCAAGAGAGTCAACTTGACTCTCTTGATTGTTTAAAAGAAGTCCTTATTCCTGTGAATTCCAACTCACAGCAACCATATAGGACAGAGTAAAAATACCAAGGTTTCTAAGATTATAATCTTTATGGAAACCAACAGGCTCATTTCTCTCCAGTGGGGCATTTGATGAGTTACAAACCACCCAGAGATTAACCACAGCTCCCCAAGAGTTTTGTGGTCTAAGAGACACACCTGTAACTCACAGCTAAAGAGGAATATTCTCTCCAAACCCTTCTAACAGGGAAATCTGCATCACTTTGCACCACACTGACCACCTCTAGAGGCCATGGGCTGGCCGCCTCCTTCAAACAAGCTGCACCCCACTTCAACAGGAAACTATGTATCATTTGCATAGATGGCAGCTGAGTGCTTTCTTATATAAACGTATTGGACAGATGTTTCAAAGGGTTGACCTTATTTGCCTCTGTGGGTTTCCTAGGGTGACCTCATGGGAGAAAGCCTCATCTTTTGCATGGAAAGTGGCTGGTGGTTATTCACTGCTGACCTTGTGCTAGCAGCCCAAAGTATCTCAGCAGGATTTGCTATGAGTGGACACCAATCTGAATTTGGTTTTTGGTTTCAAGAAACAATCGGCCAACCCTGCTAACCTGTCCCAATAGCAACAAAATAAGGTTTCCCAATGTCATTACAAAAGACTATCCCCCACTGTTCCCGGAATAGAACATGCTTGAATGTTAGGCCTCTGTCAGCTTTTTCAATTCTAGCACAAGGAAAACTGGATCAAAGTCACAAGAAGGGGTCAGCCAGCCAGAGCTCCAAACCATTCTCAAAATCTCTCCCACCTCTAAAATCTCTCGGAACTGCATGCAGACCTGTCAGAAAATCTCAACTCAATCACCGTTTGGGATGTCTACAGCCTGTATCAAATAGACACGCGCACCTTACTTACCCACCCCCATGCCAGATTCCCACCACGACCACGAAATGCAGCACCATCAAACGCTCTCCACCAGAAAACCCGCAAGGTTTTGCTACCCTAGCCTCGCCGCCACCACCGGGGATGGGAATTAACCGGGTGCTGTCTGCACCCACCCCACACCCACAGGCCCGGAAACGCTTGGCTCGAGTAGGGCACTCTATGCTCTTTGTCCTGGAGTAAAGCCACCCACCGCCTCAAAAATGAAATTCGAAATTCTAGGTCACTCGCGGCCCAGCCAGTCCCGACCGATGAGCCACGGAGCTCCCCGCAACTCGCGGACCAGGCCGTCTCCCACACTTTCCTGGGCCCCAAAGCGCGGCTAGAGCGGCGCATCCGTCCCCACAAGCGCAATCCCAGGAACCAG